AAAATTCATTCCTCCGCTCCTACTTGAGATTAAGGAATGAAATCGTTGTCATTTATTGAGAATTTGATTCTCGCTCGATCTGCATCGGCTTCAATCCTTCATCTCAATTAGGGTGGGAGAAATGAATTTTCCAATCGGGGGAGTCCCTCCGAGCTCACTCGACGTCGGAGAGCCGTTCGGGGTTTCTCCGCGCTTTTGAAAATTCATTCCTTTGCTCCTAACGGAGATTAAGAAAGGAAACCGATGTCATTTATTAAAAATATAATTCTCAATCGGTAAGCTTTGGTTTCATTACTTCATCTCAATTAGGGTGGGAGAAATGAATTTTCCAATCGGGGGAGTCCCTCCGAGCTCACTCGACGTCGGAGAGCCGTTCGGGGTTTCTCCGCGCTTTTGAAAATTCATTCCTTTGCTCCTAACGGAGATTAAGAAAGGAAACCGATGTCATTTATTAAAAATACAATGGTCGATANATGATCCTCTTTCGCTCAAGACTTCATAATTCCTTCTCTCCCTCTCCTTTATGATCAACTAATTTACAAATTAAGACAATAAGAAGTTGTATGAACGAAAATGGGATAATCAAGCGGATGAGTGAATGCAAAGGAGGTTTCATGTTGGATTTAAGATTGAACGCATCCTTGTTATCGACTGTTTCCATGGTAATAGATGAAAATTTCTTTACCCACAGAGACGGCCTCTCGATTAGTTCATGCGCGCCACCGCTATGAAACTCTGATCGAACAGTTCCCATAAGCCTGAGCAATCTCCCCTATTATCTCTGCTTTCACTGGTCTGTGGTTCATCTCAAGTAGTATACTATTAGCCGACAAAAAACTATTTTCAAACAAATGACCCTATCGAATCGTTTGTAATTCGTTAACAGGTCATTGTACACCCCTTTTTAACGTTTGAGAGTCAATGAGTCTTTTTTAATTAATTAATCAAGATAGTCCATGAATCTAGCCGACAAATTTTTATTATTCAATTTTTTTTTTTTTATTCGATTGCAAATTGTTTGTAGAATCCAGTTCTGTCACTCTTATTGTTTAAGAGTGAATATTTCATTCATAATCATGAATTTTCTTATACCCAATGATGTGGTATGGGAGACTAAATAGCTCGTGGGTTCTCCGGCTATGTACTGTCAGTTTAAAAACAAAAAAAAGAGTATCTTGTGTTCATCATTAAAATTGAGTAACTCGGCAGTAGCAGTCCCGCTGTCACAGGGACAGGTTCGGATGGGTACTTTTGTCCTCCTTGTACTCAATGTTTACTTCATATTTTTCAGTTGATTTCTTTGCCGACTAATTAATATTAAAAGATGAAACAAAGACTGTTCAATGGAGAATTAAATTCCCCATCCATCAACCCCCGTTTCATCCCTTAATCTCTGCAATAAAAAAATTAATATTGCGACGAAAGTCACGGCGCTATAAGAAACCCAATGTTTTCTCGGCGCAGAGTGACTCCCCATCAATTCGCCCGCTAATTAAAAAATCGTCTCTTTTCTCCTAATTAATATTAAGGAATGAAACCAATGCTGTTCGATGGAGAATTAAATTCCCCATCCTTCAACCCCCGTTTCATTCCTTAATCTCTGTAATGAAAAAATAAAAACTGCGACGAAAGTCGCGGCGCTATGAAAATTCAACAGGATTGGTTTCATTCCTTAATGTTAATTATCAGCAGAGATACGATTTTGTAATTAGCGGGCGAGTTGTCGGGAGTCACTGCGCCGAGAAACCATTAGGTTTTTCATAGCGCCGCGACTTTCGTCGCAGTTTTTATTTTTTCATTACAGAGATTAAGGAATGAAACGGGGGTTGAAGGATGGGGAATTTAATTCTCCATCGAACAGCATTGGTTT